TAATAGAAGCTCACATGTTGCAGGTATTTACTGTACTAACCAGTGCCAGCAGAAAATGAGGTCGTGGCAAAAGCATCACCTTGGGTTGATTGAAAGCCTGGGATCAAACTCTCAGCTGAACCACCAAGCTTCTCAGGTTGTTTGCCTGGAGGGACAAAACACTGCTCAGTTCATTCTAGCAGCATCCTGTGATCATACAAATGATAGAGGTGAAGGCCCACTGTGAACTGTTTTCTAGATTTGACTACATTTACTGCATATGGCAACACTTGGCTATTCAAAGGTCCTTGCATAGTCATTGCAATAAGAGAGAAATCAGCTGAGAAAAAGAAGGAAATTGTTAAGACTCAAAAGAGACAGCACATCAGTTTTGTATGTAATGAGTCTGATGGTCTGTTTTTTATGTTAGCAGCAGTTTGGAAGAGCAAATGAGAAGAGGGAAAGGTAGAAATAACAATAATGAGATGTTATGGGGGGCAAACATAGTGACAGTAGCCTAGTGTGAAAGCTGAGAGTTGAACAGTAAGGAGAGAGAGGCAAGAAATTATTAAAGCTTGAGGGCTCGTTATTCAAGTACAAGAATACTACGGTTTTCAGCAGACTGTGCAGATATTTCCTTTTACACCTCAGAACAATATCTAGCACACATAACAATAAAATTTAATTGTCAAAGTTAAAATCTGTGCCCTATGTTCCAGTTAAAAAGGGCAGGAAAGTAATAGAAATTTAAAAAAGATTTCTGTAAAATAAAAAACTAACACTACAATATTTGGTCAATAATTCCTTCAGTCCTGGTCATTTCTTCACCTTGTGCTCTTGTCTATATTGAGGACACTACTCTTTTCAAACTACATATTACAGAAATATTTCCTGGGCATACTTGTCGTTTTGCAAAGTGTATACCGTGTCACTGCATGTGTATGTGTGTAACCTGTCTTCCAAATTAGACTGTTTTTTGAGCAAAATTATATCTTCCATTTAATCCCGTTTCCGTGGTCAGTAAACGGTAACATGGAACTCTGATGATAATGAAAGATTCAGTGTCCACATGAGGGGACACTTGTGGACAAGCATAGACAATTTTCCAGGACAATAAACCAATCTAGGATGAGGAAACAATCACCCTCCTCCCAGGAGTCACCATGCCCAGTGCTTACATCCTCATTTATGCTACCAAATCTTTCCTAGAAGTTTCTCCTTTAAGCTTTCATACACTCCTTGCTACCACCCACAGTAGATCAGAATTTCCTGAAGATGAAAAGACTTTAGTGTTCTGATAAAAATAAAAGCCAATTTGTATGCATACTTTGAAATCAAGCCTTTGAGGAAAGGCCTGATCCTACATTCTCATATGCATACCCTTCTAGAGTTAAGATTCATTCTAATTCCTGGTTATTTCTCAGCACAGAGAATTTACAATCAAGAAGCACAAAAGAGACACAACTTACCTTCCCCCAGCTTGGCAAAGTCCTTGTTAAGCAGTTCTTCAGCTGTGAGTTTAGAGAAATTGTCATCATCAAAGGGATTCCACGTAGAACCTTCTGAAGGATTATAGACGTTTTGTTGGGAGGTCCGAGGAGAGCCTGATGGAGTGGTGGTTGCAGACCTAGGTAGGTTCCCACCCCCACGAAATAAAAAGACATATAAAAGTTGAACAACACAAAAAGGGTTAACTTAATTTCTCTTTATTTCAGAATCAAATTCTTTTCCAGGTCAAACTATCCTTTTTCATAGTGTTCTCCTAACAGGACATTATATAGCAACTAAATAGTTTCCACAAAAACCCCTTCTACTTTGTGAAATAAACCTCTCCTTCATGATTTACTACCTCCTGCTGCTCTTTTAACCTTTTGCTTAGGTTTTTTTTTTTTCCAGTTTTTGGCTGGGGCCAGGTTTGAACCCACCACCTCCAGTATATGGGGCCAAAACCCTACTCCTTTGAGCCATAGGTGCTGCCCCTTTTGCTTAGTTTTTAGTCTCTTCTGCAGGTCCTTAGTTTTTAGTCTCATCTGCAAGTCCTTTCTGTTGAGGACCCAAAGCCAACCTGCTCTTAGGCTTGTACATCCTATGGTGACCACTGTAACTGATCTACAATAACTGATCCTTGGAAGGGCTGGGGCTGAGGCCCATTTAGGGTGACTTTCATCTTTCAGGATCCAGCATGTAAAGAAGTAAGGGCCACCAGCATAATTAAAAAGAAATAAAGACAGGGCAGTGCCTGTGGCTCAAAGGAGTAGGGCACTGTCCCCATATGCTGGAGGTGGCAGGTTCAATCCCAGCCCCAGCCAAAAACTGCAAAAAAAGAAAGAAAGAAAGAAAGAAAGATGGTTATCACTATTTTGAATCTAGGTATTATTACTTAATTTTCTTCTAAAATCTCTTTTGATTGAAAGACTTAAGCATGCATAGTTCCAAGAAAGCTAAGGGTCTGAAATTGCATCTACTCAATACCCCTCAAAATCTACTTTATGTGAGGTACATTAGCCAATTACTGGGTTTCCAAGCTAAAGCATGGTCCTTGTCTTGGAGAACTCGCAGGCCAGGTAAGCCAGACATACAAATAATTGATGATACCACAGTGTGATGGTATGCTCAAAAAATGGTCAAGACCAAATGATACATCCTATTAAAGGAAGGATTAAATAAAAAAGTAACCTCTTGGACCTTGATGAATAAACGAACTCTCATTTATTATTTATGACAAGGAGGAGAGTGGCAGTCCCAGGAGAGTCACAAGATGAATAAAGGGCTCGTGAAGATGCAGACTGGCAAGTCCACCCGTGTGATACAACTGGCCCTGCTGTATTTACCAGGGCTTTCAGTTTATCATCTGACAGGCAATCATGGACCAATGAAAGATTTTTAACATGGAAAGACTTGGTCAGATCAAGAGTTTAGAAAACACTGTAGAGCATGGAATAGATGAGAGAATGAAAACAGCGGGCCAAGTAGAAATTTATTTTTTTCTTTTAAAGATCAGGTCTTGCTATGTTGCCTAGGCTGGTCTCAAACTTCTGGCCTCAAGCAATCCTGCCTTGGCTTCCAAGAGTGCTGAGATTATAGGTGTGAGTCACTGCAGACAACTAGCAATTATTTTGTTAAGATTAGTGTGGTCTAGGCAAATTCATAGTAGCTTATAAAACACAGACACATACTACTATATATATACATTTACATTCATCTACATACTTATGCAAAGAATCTCACGTAAATGGTCTACGGCTGATCTTGTTCACCAACTTAAGAACAAAGGGGAAGTACAACATACTTAGATTTATTGAGACTGGCCTCAGCTGCAGCTGCCTGGAGCAGCTGGGTTGATTTGCTGGCTGGGACCCCAAAGACTGCACTGTGAGTTACATCACTGAGAATCCTCCTATGCCCAGCACGTTGGGTTTTGGGGGATGATGGAGGAGTGAGAGATCCAAGTTTCTGTCCCTGGGTGGCAGGTGGTGGGGTGGTCTGAACCTTTGGCTGTTGTCTTACCGGGGCTTGAATCTGCTAGGAAGAGAGATAGAAAGCGTTTCATTAAAAAAAAAAAAAAAGGCAGGAAGGAAGGGAAGAAGGGAGGAAAGGGAGAGGGAGGAAGAAGGGGAAGGAGCAAAGGAGGGAATTATATAGATAAGCATAACAAAAAATCCCACCAGTGAGCTAACATGGAATTCAAATGGGTAAGTTTATTAATAAAACCAGGCTTTGACAAAGTGAGCCGCACCTTTGCAACTGATACCAACATGGTATTTGCCTGATCAGGGTAATCATATGTAATTCAGCCCAGAGTATAAGAACTGCACTAACTATTCTTAATTCTGAAGGTCTACATTTTATCTGAAATTTTGGAGCACTTTCTGTGGCTGATGTCACATAAGAATTCACTCGGAATGCTTTCAAAAGGCAGGCAGTAGATCCTATTATTATAGTTAGAAGCCAGTGAAGACAAACCCCCAGCTAAAACACCCTTAAGCTGAATGATTTCAGCTAAGAAATCCCTGACTCTGTCATAGCTGAAACTACTAGTCAGGAATGAGAAAGAATTATACTATTACTGTGACTGATAAATGGTAACACTTTCCTTTTTTGTTGTTAAGGCTCTTTATTTCACTGATAAGATGGATATAAAGGATCCTATTTTTGTGGCAACCCCAAGAAACATACAGCACGGGTTAGTGAGATTACTTTGTTCCAACCTTCAGTTTGGAAATGGCACTGAAGAGCTGATGGGGAATATAAGAAGAAGGAAGATAAAAAGTTCCTGATGATGACTGAGCTAAAGAGAGATGAGGGCCATTTTCAAAACACAGGCCAAACTGCCACCACTGAACAACAGATAGGTGGTAACGTCCTTATGAACACACGAGTAGCCCTTCAGCATAAGTCACCCATATCAAAGGAAATAAAAAATATTAAGAAAGCCATAAAATCCCTTTCTTTAATGCTGTCAATCTAGAGATAAAATGACTCTGGCTATTAAGTGCCCAGGGATTTAACTATCCCTTCCTTCCAGTCCCTCATCTTAGATTAGAGT